GAGGAAACGCTGCCAAGTAATTGAGCTGCAATTAAAGCTTGCACTTTATTTTTGAGGCGCGTTTTGGCCCATTTCAAAATACGGCAAAGCCAACCTTGGCTTTTAGACACACAGCTGGGAGCGAAACAGCTCTCCTCCCCTCGCCGGAGAGAGAGAGACGGCGGGTCTAAGAAAGGACAACGTGCTTCAGTATGGCGAGAAGGGGAAATAGCATTTCTTTGGGTCAGTTCTGCTCTTAAAGAGCAGGAAAGCGAGAAACCAGCGCCAAGCTCTCTGCCCTGCAGGTCTCTGCAGAACGGCCGCGAATAGCTCCGAGTGGAAATAACCTTCTTTTTGGTTTGTTTTCAGCGGAGTTTTTATCACCGTTCGCTTTTCTTCCTCTCTCCCTCTCTTTCCGACCCCTCAGAAGATGAGTAATTACAAGCACCCGGTAACCGGGCACGAAATGGTACAGCAGGAACAGGCGAGAGGCGCGGGGCGAACTGGAGGAAAGCGAGCCCCGGCGCCCCGACCTTTCCCAAAGCCGGGAGACACCGGGGAAATGTCGTTTTAGATAGCATTTTGCCCTCCTTGGATAGCCAAGGAATCTTTCATTGCCATTTCATTTCAAGTGCATTCTTTATATATAGCTACGCACACATATTTATAAGTATATGCAAATACTTACATATTTATACGTACGGATATATCTATATTTGTGCAAGCGACGGTACGGATATGAATTTAGGACTAGTATATGTTCTCCTAGAAGACAGTTTCCACTCCTCCCCTTTTTACTCTCGCTTTCCAGATCCCCATTCAGAGAGACAGAAAAAAAAACCGCATTTCCAAGGCTGATTTATTGTTAGAAGCCACGGCTGGCTCTTGGTTCAGCTCCTTCTCACCGCGGAGAAATAAAGAGGAGCCCCTTGGCTCGTTTGGGAAGGGGAAGCTTTGCCACAGAGCTGGGCGCCCATGCAGCCCTCCGCGCACGGTAAACAAAGTGCCACTAAAGCATCATAAATAAAATGGCAGCACGATCGCGTACTCATCGATTTACGGAGCGGCAGCGGCCGAACAAACACCGATAAAACAACAACAACCGCCGCCGCCGCCGCACACCCGAGCACGACCCCGACAGAGGAGCATCCCTCCACCCCCCCGCATCGTTTTCTCCGAAAAACGCGAAAATAAAAGAGCCTCCCCATCTCTAGCCGATCATAAATAATGATAAGATGGCAATGGAGGGGCTGGAGCTGAGGCAGCTGGCCATCAACAGCAGTGTGGGATCTCTATGGAGAAAAATAAATAAAGAAGCAAACTCTCCCTGCTCTGCTCGCTGCGAGGGGAGAGTTGAATATTTACCGCAGCAAATTGAAACAAAGGGGGAAGCAGCCTGGCTCCGGGTGCACACACACCCGCACGCACACACACGCACTCCCTCCAGCCTCTGCTACTGACCTTTGCCTCGAACAGCAATAACTCACCACATAAATGAACAATCAACGGAAATACCTTAAAATAAAATCCATCCTTTCTAACGAAGCATTTCGTCCTCTCGGCTCGACAATAACCTTTCCATAAGGAACGAAAGCTGTCAGCGAAATGGCCAGCTCTTGCGGGGACGGTGATGGGGGCAGGAGGAAAAAAAAAAAATAATAGAAAGCAGTGCTTGCTCTGAACAGAAACTGGAAAAGCGTAATCGCAGACGGAGCCAGACCGGGTCTCCACTCGAAATGCCACAATAATGCGCTGTATTATGTGCTCACGTGGTCATACGTCAACTTAAATCCTTTTATTTGAAATAGGGAATCATTGAAGGAACAGGGTTTCTTAGCGCGAGCCTTTGCTTTTTAAAGCCTTAACCCAATGTGTTAAAGAAGAGTTTTAAGGGAGGGAAAAAAAAAAATCCAAGAGATGCAGAGAAGAGGGGGGGGGGGGGGGGGGAGAAGATTGGTTTGATTCTTTTTCCTCCCACACCAATATTTCTTTACGCAAAGCCCATTGGAAGGTAAGAGGAATTCTTCTTATAATAAGGGATTACGCTGCACTTTGACACTTAGCCTAATTAACCGGCATTTGCTCCCCAGGCCCGCCACTCCGCTCCACTCGCACGTCCTCTGCAACCCCCGAAGAAAGCCCAAATCTTAATACGATTATTTCCAGCCCCCTTCTAAATGGGACGATTACCAGCCTTCCTCCCACCCCCAGCCCTCTACCCTGCCATTGTACAGGGCTTGCTCAACTCCCACACGCTACATCAGGGCTCCTGTAGAAACTAAAAAGACCTATAATTACCTGACAAAGGCAAAAAAGAGTCTCTTCTAAGAGGCTAGTTGATTTTTGTCCTTGTAACACACTATGAAGAATACACCTTCCTTCACTGGCGTGGCTCTGAATTTTGCAAAACCTTTTGGGACCTTGCTGTTAAACCTGTGCTTACGCATTTCCTATACAGCTAGTTTGAGTGATGCACAAAATTATAGGTTTCTAACGACGAAAAAAAAAAAAGAACAGAGCGAAGTCGTATGCGGCCCCCGAGCCAGGCAGCTTCGCCTGTGTGCGAGCACACCACATCTCCCCTGTGAGATTGTTTAGCTTGTGCTATTGACACAATAAGCTAAACAAGCAAAAGAAACCCTCAACTCACATAACTTTTCTGGAAGGAGTCAAAGAAAATCAGACAGTTCACGCTTTTAACGTGTTCCTGGTCCAGTTCTGTGACTCCAGCATTTTGCATCACCATGTATATACCCTTGCCTAAATCTTTCCACCATCCCCCATGAGCTCGGAGAAAACTTTCGGCTAACTGCACATCCCCTCTTACTGTTTCACCTGCACTTAACTGAACGGAATGGAAGGAGATTTGGGTTTAAAGGTGATTTTTAGCGTTATGGGCAAGCTTTATACACTCTCGCTTGGATTGTAGAAGTGGGCCACCGGAATTCAAACCCCTCGGTAACAGTGCGTAGTAGCGGACATTGCAGCAAAGTCAGCGTGAGATTACAACAGAGGAAGAATTCGCAATTTTTCGTAGGGAAGTGACTAAGCTGGTAGCAGGGTATACGTATATTATCCCTCACTAAGAACTGGAATAAAAGCTCTATACCTTTGAAAAAGAGAGAGCATTAGCCACACAGGACATGCTCAAGTCTGTAACCATCAGCACGACTGGTAACTCCACAGCCCTCGTACTCAACCTAAACCCAGGCTGATATTTACTCGAGACGGATTCACGGCTCTTTTAAATACGGTGCGTTTAGATCCCATCAAAGAAACACCCAGAGAAGTTCTTCTGCAACAATGAAACTGAAATTAATGGGGAATGGAGCAGATGTTGAAAAAAGCAGAGCAAGTCTTTCTTGGGGCTGTTGTAAAAAGTTATCGACTGCTTTGCGTCAAAAGCAGAAAGATGGCTTTAGAAGTTACAGTCCTGAGCAAACAGAAACTACAAAAGCAATAAATCACAATCATAAGTCAGCTTAAATGCCTTAACGCTAGCTATGGCTATTGGTTTCAAAACCCTGTTTCTATGAACATCTTTATTAGTATTAATGGGCAAGTTAATGCTAAAACTACTGTTTAACAATTAACTTCGTGTATGTCGTGGGGAAACTGATTAATTCTTAAGAAAAGTAACTTCTTGACGTGTGAATACCTTCCACAGGGTGTGCTTGGGGAGGGCGGAAGGGGGAGTCTGCCTAACTTTATGCTGTCCTAGATCGCAGCTGAAAATTATGCCCTTCCGCCGATTTTGGAGAAAGCTTTCTTTGCTCTACTATCGCGATTACGACTTTTCAGATAGAAAGATCTTGCGAGTGGCAGACGCTCGGTTTCCCCCGCCACCCCATATATCGCTTTGTTCCTGTTCCGGGACATTCAACGTTGTGGTTTATTACCTCGATGATTTGGAGACCCGAAACACGGTTTCTAGCAGAAAAACGTGGAGCTTATCAGTAGGTCTGCTACTGATTTTTCTGTGCTTTGTACACATGGCTTGGAGCTGAGCTGAAATTCCAGGCTCAGTAACAACAAACAGATCTGGGTTCATAATGTGCCTTCATTAAGAGAGACCCTTTGTGCCAGCTCTGGCATTAATAGCCACTCTTGGCACTAATGCTATTTAAGGTTACCTTCGATATAATTAGATTTAGGATTTTTACTGTCTTTCAAGTTCACTTTTACGCCAGTTGTTAAGAGGTAAGCCTATCGCTCCCATGTGGAGGCGAAATGGGAATCACCGTACGATGTAAGTATTTATTTTCTCGCTTCCTCGGAAGATTGGATATCTGCTGGGACAGAGCTGTTTACCTACATCGGTGCGTCTGATAAAGTTGGTCTTTGATCACTTCCAAGCAGATAAAAAGAATAGAGCTATCGACTGTGCCCTTGTGGGAGAAGTTGTGCTCAGAGTCGGACGAGTCTGCGAGTGTTGGGTCCCTTTAGGAATCCCAGACATCTCTGCCCGCAATGCTGTGGGTACATGCCACCGGAGGAAGGTTCCCTCGTACCGTATTTTCGCTTTGAATCCCCTAACGTAAGCGTGAATAGGCATTCGCAGCGCCTTTCACCGTAGTTAAGATTTAAGCAGCCCATTAAGCCAACACAAAGAGCCCTTGTAGTCCTCTAATTTATGGCCGCTTTTAAAAGGTAGTAAAGTACACTAATTGTACATCAGCGTTCAAAAATAAGCAGGTAAATCTAGCAGGAATTTCAGCTAATTCTATGTAATCCTCCCCTCCCGGCGGCCGGCGTAAGGAAATGGTCACTATGAAAAGCATTACATTTCTCCTGTCAAAGGACCAAGCGCATCAAGGACTCCACCAACTCTGAACCACCGAACACCGACCTCCGCCCGGTGCAAAGCAGGCCAGGAGAGACAAATACCCGAAACTTATCTGCCAGCCATTTCGGTGCGATGCACTCACGCAAGAAAAAAAAAACCCCAAAAATTTCCCCCCCCCCATTTGGGGGGAAGCCCCCCAGGAAAAAAGAAAAAAAAAAAAAAAAAAAAAAAAAAATTAAAAATCAGGTTTTCGAACATCCCCACACGCCCTCCGCCTTTGCAGGACTGGCTTGGGGAACTCCTCGAGGAGGAGGCACACAGCCACGCCGCGATAAGCCGTTCCACACCGGCATGGCCCCAGCGCGCTCTCCCGCGCCTTGCGCCTTTGATTTGGGAAGGAGCTAGGAATGGACAAAGAAATTCTCAACCTCTTTCGCTCTTCAGATGACTTTGCATCCTTCCTGTCCCCCATGCCTTTATAAGGATGGCGATCACTCAGGTCCCGTACACTTCTTTGTCTGCCCAGACACGCGCATTCACCACGCACGGAAGATGAATAGAGCCAATCCAGAAAAAAATTCCGCCTAGGTTAAATATTTATCACAACAACAACAACAAAATCTCATTCCAGCAGGCTTGCTCTGCATGCAGGTACTAGGCAAATGGCTTTCTTACAGCTGCGATCGGTGCAAAAGCAGCCCGGGCGCTCCCCGGCTCTTACCTCCTCCAGCTGCGCGGAGTTGGGCTGAAGCGCTCCCGGCTTCCACCGCCCCAGCCCAGCGGCTCTTTTTCGGGGCTCCCTGTAAACAAGGGACAAACAGTGCCTTACCGGGGAGTGCAGGGGGAGGTATTTTGCTCCTTCATAGGCAATACATGGTTTGCCGGGTGCGCTGGGAGAGCCCCGGAGCGGGGCGGGCAGGGATGGAGCGGGCGCGGGCTCCCGGCGCGGAGCGTGGGTTCCCACCCGGGTGAAAAGCGCGGGGAGCGTTTTTTTTTTTTTTTTTTTTTTTTTTTTCCCGTAGACAGCTATGCCTTCTGTCTCCAAGTGTTTGGAAATATTGTCATTCCAAACTCTTGTTACATGAATGTCTGCTTTATTTTCCTCTGGGAAACCTTTGTTTAGGATCATTTAATCAAGAACAGACATTAAACACAAGTCGTGGTGTTCATCTCTGCTGAATAAAACGCGGGAAGGGTTCCAGTTTAAACGCGGGGCATATTGTGGTTGGGCTTTTATTCAAACGGTTAGCCGGGGCCCGATCCTGCCACCGCTAGCGCAATAAGGGACCAACAATTGACCTCACTGAAGCGGGATCGGGCCCAAAGCTTGCTTTTTTTTTTTTTTTAAAAAAAAAAAAAACCACACTGGAAGCCACTGAAGGAGGGCAAAAACTGGACGGCTTCTCTTCCCCTAAAATAAACAATGTTGCACAATCCAAAAAGACAATAGATTATTCGCATGCCACTTACTGAATCACGTTTACATATGAATTTGTCAGATATAATAATGTACCCCCCGTATTCATTCTCGCTAATAAAAGCCATCTAACGCATCTTAAAATTGTCAGTAAATGTAAATGCTAATAATTAAATAACACAGTTCTTGCGGAAGGATGTCATCTGAGCCTTGGAAATATTAAGTCTGTCTTGGGAGAACTTTTCGAGCAGAGACTTTGCTTTGCTAATTTAGTAGTTCCATAATTACGCTAATAATTTTAAATTTGGTGTTGAACTCCAGCCTACATAAAATCATGCAATAATAGCCTACTAAGCTGTTTATTGCCGTCTCATAAATTTGAGAGCGCTGACTGCTAAAATCTACTGGCAAACACAAAAGAAAATGGAAAGTTCAATCTGCGATGGCAGAGCCCGGGCGCTGCTGCCTGGGGTTATTCTTAGCTCTACCTTTCCCTGCGCTCGGCTCCAGCACAGGGGGAAACCCCTGGCATTTTAGGCTCAAACTCATACCTTAGCCGTTTTGATCCCTAATCAATAGTCATGTTACAAACGGCAATAATCATCGATCACGCTGTGTCGTGACTGGGTCGCCCCACTCGTGTTAAATATGGAGCGTGTATCTGAAAACGGTGCCAGCGACTCTCTGTTATTTATTTTGGAGCTATTAAGTCACGCCACCATATTTTACACTGCCACAGTCCTTCAAACTATGCTGCTTCTTGAAAGAGTTGCTAAGTAGCAATAAAGCACTTCGCAAACGCTATGACATTTTTTTTTTTAATTTGTTGTTATCCCAAACTCTAATATTCATTGCGGCACTTTAAGTTCGTACATAAATCGTTCAGACTAATGAGTCATAGAGAAATTCGCCCATGACTTTTCCTTTACAATGCTCACTGCCTTTCCATTGCTTTTTTGGCCCTGCATTAGGAGCCGGTGATTTATTAACGCCAGGAAAATTGAACAAAGCAGGTCCTCCTGCACTGTGGCACCCAGCCTTCCACAGTGTGAATTAGAACATTATCAAATGTGTTTGCCTCGGTAACACTTAATCACCAAAAGCCGTAATGTGACCACAAGGCAGCTAAAACAAAGATTTAACATTTCTAAATATTAAACTTGTTAAGCAAATGCTCAGCAGACAAAGCAAGCACAAACAATTAAAGTCATCAAGCTAGAAATACACACTACCTACTTACCAACACAGACCCTACTGCTTGCTTAAGAAGTTTAGAATCTTTCAAGATAAATCAGGTGGTTTTTTTTTTAAAGGGAAAAAAAAAAAGAAAGAAAGAAAAACAAACTCCAGTAATAAGGAGTTGAGTTTCACTTCTGAGAGAATCACTCCTAGTGAGGACTGACGGCCACAGATCCATTCCTGACTATCTGCATTAATTATTTAATGAGTCACGTGACCCTAAAGATTAAAATTTCAATATCTCCCCCAGAACAGACGCAACACCTTTATCTGCGAGCGCAGGGATCCTCGTACTTGGGTCCCCTAATCTCTGCTGGCTTTGACAGCTCCTCAGTTTCTCGGGAGAGCGCTGGGGCATTAATAACACGGGTTTGTCCCGCTCCGTACAGCGAGACGGGGCAGCCCTGCGCCCCCCCAGATTAGCCACTTGCACCCAGATCCTCACTGTCTGCGGCGGGGGGAGCTCTGAGCGCTGCTGCGGGGGGACAGGGGAGCACCAGGGGCGGCAGCCCCCGGGGTGCCCTCGGCGGGTCAGCGCTGCCTGTCCGCG